ATCTTTTATACAAGGCTAACTTGAATACTGGAAGTGTGCTGGAGTATGCCCTTGCTTTCACTAGTGCTGCGTTGGATAAATATTGTAATAAATGGAGTGCTGCACCCAAGACAGGTTTCATTGACATTACAATTTCTAAAGATTTCTATCGAATATACAGTGGCCTCCAAATTGTGAGTAGCATCTTTCCACATCTCTTCCATTTCTTACGTTGCTTAATAAGTTGCCAATGCTTTGAATGATGAATTGACTTAACATAAAATTCTTATCATGTAGAATTTAATTGTTTGTTTCTTCATACACCTTTTATATTCATTGTGGGTTGACTTAAATGGTTTAAAATCTAGTCCAAGTTTACGTTCTTCATGATGCAGGTTCAACACCTCCTGTGACCTCCTGTGACCATTAAAATTTTATTTTGGTAAACATACTTACTCAAAGAGATTCTTTAGTCCCAAAGGAGAAATCCCTCTAGTGAACCTCTTCTGGTCCTTAGTTTGACAAGTAAAGTCCTTAGTCAAATTATGCACTACTAAGTTTAGAGTTTAGACTAAGTACTAAGTGGATAGTAATGCTTGGTTTGAGGATCCTATACATGCCATTGGCTCCCTGTCCAGTAATCTTAGGGGTGTCATCTCCTATCTACTATTTTATGGACAAGAAAAAAATACACCTTTTAGTTCACAGTTTGGGTAAATTAAATTGGTCCCTATTTAGTTCGTGCGGGTGGGTGTCTTAAATTTGGCTGAAAACTGAGTGAAGCATAGAAGCATTTCAAGTTAAAGGCGCCTCTTTCAATTTCAAGATGGCTAAAAATTAACTTGAACTACTTTGTAACATCTTGTTCAATTCATTAATGAATTTTCTTGTGCTTTTTGTCATCTTTTTTTTTTTTTTTTTCAATATATATTTTGATGTGTATTTTTCTTGAGCTACATAGGGATACTTGGAAGAGTCTGCCCAAGTGCCATCAAATAGTAATGAGAGGCTAGGAGATTCAGTTGCTTGGGGTGGCTGCACTATAATTTATTTGCTTGGGCAGCAGCTGCACTTTGAGCTCTTTGACTTTTCATATCAGATCCTCAATATTGCAGAAGTGGAGTATGCATCTGTTATGCAAACACACAAGAACTCACAATTTGTTGTGCAGGTTTATATTGCTTCTTCGAATCAAAGCCCAAAGAATATTTGCTTGTTTTACATAATCCTTATCTATTATAATAATAAAATTACTATGCTCGTTATTGTCCATACTTTGCTACACGAGCGTTATAGAAATGTTTTCCTTTTTGCTCAACATTTTCTTCTACCTTACTGCATTTTTAGAAAATTATGTTTGCTTTTTTTTTTTTTCAATTCACTAATACAATGACTAAAGATGAAATCAACTTTAAATTGATCATATTGTTAAAACAATCATTTAATTTAGATGGTTGTCATGTCAAATGTTTTAAGAATAGCCAAATAGTACATAGTAGCGAAGAAGCTGCGACTTGGTTAAGTGCAATTTAAATTCCAGGTCCTCGCTGCTTTAGTAGCAATGGCTTTCTTTGTATGTATCTTGCGTGCTGCTATTGATAGCATTTTTTATTTTTTATTTCTAACAGGGATGGGAAGCCTTACTGGAAGCAATGAAAAAAGCAAGGAGATTAAATAACCATGTATTCTCCATGCTTAAAGCGCGTTGCCCCCTTGAAGAAAAGACAGCTTGTGCTATTAAGCAAAGTGGTGCTCCATTACATCGTATAAAATTTGATAACACAGTTTCAGCGTTTGAAACACTGCCGCAGAAAGGTGCTTAAACGAGTAGTCTAGTTGTAGGCTTCCAGCAAATTCTGTACCTTGTCCCCTATACGGTGTATATGTAACGTTGTGTTGTATCATGTATGTAAAAGATACTATGTATGGTATATATGTTTCATGAGCTTGTGAGTTTCTATACAGAGGGAGCAACAACTTTTGTACTTGATTGATGATAAAAATAAAATGTTCGACATAGGTGTTCCATTTGAACAAGCTGTTGGACAAGGGCAATATTTAGCATGCTCGTATGAAACCAAGTCCAAATCTTAACTCCTACGAAAAAATACAAACCAAAATATCACTGTTAGAGTACAACTGTAGTGGAGCCCAGTCAGTTGGTAGTTACAACTGTCACTAGTTATTAGTTATAGTTATAATTGAATTTATCTAGTACAAGCTTGTACAAGTACATTTTCCCACCTCTCTGCAAGAGTAATTCATTCGGAGATCATTTTTGTTCATTTTTCTCATTCTCCAAGTTTTCTTGCGTCCACTTCATAACTTAGTTGATCTGACATCTTTCATGGTAACAAAGCTTGTTCTCGAAAAATGGCCACTCCTAAAAATCAAACTTCTGTACAATTCACTCTTGAAACCTTCTCTATTCCAGTTTTTATTCATGCTTAATGAATGTAATAGATGGTTGTTCTACTTCCCAACAATATTGGGAAAAGCTTGAAACACTTTTTAGCATCTCAAGCAAAAGTCAAGATGGAACAATTCAAAACGTAACAGAAGAGCATCAAGAAATATTCATCACCAGCAAGTGCTTATTTGCTGCAAGTTAAAGAAGATAGTGAATTCACTTGTGCGGTTGAAGGTTTAGTTTTGACAAAGGAACATATTGACATTATTCTTTATGGGTGGGATAAGAACATGATTCATTTGTAGCGTCAATTCTATCAAGATCCAATCTCAGTACTATTGAGGAGATCGAAGCCTTATTCATGGCTCAAGAAGAGTGCTTTGAAATTTACAGAACCTTAGGTCAACTTACCTCGTATCCAAATAAAAAAGACTAATCGATTTAGTGTTGTTAAATTTGATTCTCGTTTATTTTAAAATAATGATTAATAAAAGTTACATCTCGTGATGCAAATTAATCTTTAATTATTAGTTTTAGTTTTAGAATATTGTGAGAGTTATGTTCATGGAGGAAATATAAAATAGAAAAAACAATAATAACGATGTTAGTTCAATCCAATCCAAATTGTGTATTAGTATCATGTGCTTAGTTTTAAGATATGGGTCAACGGTACTTATTAGCAAGTCTTATTGGAGTGTGATGGCATGAAATAGAAAATTATCTAAAACCAAGTAACAATTCTTAAATTTTAAAATACAAATCATTTTCACAAATAAAAAATATATTACTTATTATGTTTAATTAAATTAATATTTAATTATAATAATTACTTTAATGTTTTAAGTTATCAAAAAGTAAAGTGTAAATAAAAAATATAATAGTGTGAATTCTTATAAGTATAACTTAGCGATAGTTAAGATGCGGAATATTTAAGAGAATATTAACCTCATCTTAAGGGAGTTATATACATGTTTTGGGTGTATTATAATCTTGAATTCTCTAAAGATATTTTTCAAAAAAAAAAATACTGCCATAATTACACTTGACTATAATCACTGTAGATTTGATATGCATATGATGTATGATTTATTTTAATAAATTGGGTGATTTTATATTTAATTGATTATATAATTAAAAATTGATGACAATAATAGATATAAAATATAATACTATTAAGAATAAGTCAAAAAAAATATTAAAAAATAAATATACACTAACTTATTACAAATTATTGAAAAAAAATTTATAGATAACATTAGAACATATATTAATAGAGGCATGCATTTTTTTTTTCTTCTATGTACATGTAAAAGAAAAAAAATAAAAATTCAATAATTAGCTTTAAACCAAAATAATTAAAATGAAAAAATATTAACATATATAAATATTAAGAATTTATTACTTTTGATTGAGAAGAATCATTTTCATACCGAATAACATATTCTTATTATTGAAATCAAATACATTTCATATATGAAAGGTTAGTAATTATTAAAATATTTTTATCCAAATTTTTTCTTTTATTTTGATATTTTTGTTTATTTTTATTATTTTATAATATTTCAAAAATCTAATAATGATTGGTAATTATTAAAATATTTTTATCCAAATTTTGCATTTTAATTTGATATACTTGTTTTTTTTACAATATTGTGAAAATATATAATTATTATAATATTTTTATCTAACTTTTCCTTTTATTTTGATATATTTTTATATAATATATAAATACTATAAAATATCCATTTTTTTCTTTTTTTTTGATATATTTGTTTGTTTTAAATTATTTTCGGTAGTAACTTTATATATTTGTTTGTTTTAATAATTTTCAATACTAATTTATTTTATAATATATATATAGAGAGAGAATTTGAAAGTTGATTTAGAGGGTAGGAAGAAGTTGTAGAACTCCTTCCTTTTATATTATTAATAGATAATAGATAATGAAAATAGATTAATTTAATGTTCACATTTTTCCTTATTATTTTGTCCTTAATAACTACACAAACACTTAAATAATCCCACATCGCAATAAAAATAAAATCTACTCCCCACTAATACTAATTACGATAATTTTTAATTTTGATATATATATATATATATACTTATTTAATAAGTAGTTAGAAATCAAATCTTGACTCTTGCAAAAAGAATAAAACTCAAGTTAAAAGAAAAAGTTAAAAGAAAATATTCATCTATTTAATGTCTGTCAAATTTTTAAAAAAATTATTTTTGCGTAAAAAAAATGATAATAAATAAATAAATAAATAAATACAGTACATTTAAAAATACACACAAACTTTATGACCTAGATAGTAAAATTTTAAACACCCAAATATGAAAATTTAATTTATATTAAAAAGGAAAATGTTTAGAAAGAAATAATATTTATGAGATGGGAAGCAGCAACTCTTTTGGTAGAGATTTAATTGTGATTTTGTTACTTTACGGTATCTTTTACTGCAGGCAATCAATTTCTGATTTTGCATTCCTTAAAAACCCAACCCAACCCGTGGGTTGGGCCGGACCTGGTTGGTGGGTCGGTGGCGTGGCCTTATAACTTGCACAGTTTATTTATTTTTTATTACACTTGTCACCTTACGCTACGCACGCGGTATTTGACGGACGTTGCTTACTGTTTATAATTTGGTTAATTATCATCTCATCAGTCATCACATACGGAAGAGAAGAGAGAAGAGGGAATGAAGGTGGCAAGGTAAAATTAGAATGGCGAAGAGGGAGCGAGAGAGAGGAGTGTCGGCGTCGGAATTGAAGGACAAGTTGCGAGAATTGGTGAAGGCCATCGTGGACTCCGACGACTACACGCTTGAAGCCGCCGACGAAGCCATCGCCAGCCTTTCAGCTCTCAAGAATTTAAAGTCTCTCCATCACGCTCCCATTCCTCCTCCCCAATTTCGATGCCCCATTTCCACCCAATTGATGACCGATCCCGTTATCTTGTCCACCGGCCAGGTTACCCCTCTTTCCGATTTCAATTCTTATTTTTTAATTAATGATTTCGTCAAGCCTTATTCTGATTACTCATTAATTAATTAATGAATTAATGTGTATGCACCTGTATGTGACTATGTGTCCTGGTTTTGATGTTACTGCAGACTTATGATAGGCCATTTATTGAGAGGTGGTTGAATGAGGGGCACAGAACGTGCCCTCAGACCCAGCAGGTTCTATCTCACTCTATTTTAACTCCGAATTACTTGGTCCGAGACATGATTGTGCAGTGGTGTAGGGAGCGTGGAATTCAGTTGCCTAAGCCTGTTAAGGATGTGGACCAAGTTGTCACCAATGCAGACAGAAACCGTTTGAATTCCTTGCTCCGCAAGTTGTCATTGTCTGCTTCTGATCAGAAGGAAGCTGCCAAAGAGCTTCGCCAGTTGACAAAGCGAATGCCGTCGTTTCGAACCCTTGTTGGGGAGTCCACTGATGTCATTCCCCAGCTGCTCAGTCCACTGTCGTCGCCGGGCACTGACCCTGATCTCCATGAGGACTTGATCACCACGGTTTTGAATCTCTCAATCCATGATGATAATAAGAAGGTCTTTGCAGAGGATCCTGCTGTGATTTCTCTGCTTATTGATGCCTTAAAATGTGGAACGCTTCAAACAAGAAGCAATGCTGCAGCCGCCATTTTTACATTGTCTGCTCTTGATGACAACAAGCACATCATCGGGAAATCCGGGGCTATCAAGCCTTTGCTTGAGCTTTTGGATGAGGGAGAGCCTTTTTCCATGAAAGATGCTGCTTCGGCTGTATTCAATTTGTGTCTTGTGCATGAGAATAAAGGGAGGACCGTTCGAGATGGGGCCGTTCGGGTTATTCTGAACAAGATGATGGACCACATTCTGGTTGATGAGTTGTTGGCTATACTGGCACTGCTCTCCAGCCATCCCAAGGCTGTTGAGGAAATGGGTGATCTAGGCTGTGTTCCTTTGTTATTGGGGATTATTAGGGAGAGCACCTCAGAGAGGAGCAAGGAAAATTGTGTTGCAATTCTCTACACAATCTGTTTTAGTGACAGAACAAAGTTGAAGGAAATTAGAGAAGAGGAAAAGGCCAATGGTACACTGTCCAAGCTTGCACAATGTGGAACTTCAAGGGCAAAAAGGAAGGCTAACGGTATTCTTGAGAGGCTTAACAGATCTCCCTACTTAACTCACACTGCTTAGTGAAATTAAACCTTGAGAATTAGTAAAACCACCTCTTTGTTAATAGTTTTCTTGTGTTCTTCTGTACAAACCATCTCGGGTAGCTGTAAAAATGGGAAAGAGAAGTTCACATATTATGTACAGTAGCTTCACTTACAACCAGGATGAATGAGCAAAGTTTTTTTTACTTATTCCTTTATTTCATTTCTGTTTGATTCTTTATCCCTTTTCATAAAGCTCTTTTCTTTGTTAAAGGAACTACATTCTTCTACATCTATTTTCTCATTGCCTGACTGCCCGTGATTGATGTTTTTGCTTTCTAAATTTGTAAGTATTCTAAACTTCTTTGTCGCTTAGCTAACCAACTTTGAGTGCTGACAAAGTGTCTGTTTGTATTTTGTTAATGGCGCTACTGTATTTGTATGTGGTTTTCGTTGCTGGTAACTTGATATCTTACTGCTGAGAAAGCATAACTAATCAAAGCATGAGTGGGAGTGGGGTAGGGTCTCCTTTTGCTTTCTTTCCATCGCCAACCATTCAAGAGTGTCGGCACCGTGTTTATTGCTCTATCTTTACCGAACTTTCTATGTTTACACTTTAAAGCACCAATTAGAAGGGATTGATTGCTCATAGGTTTATGAATTCATGATATATAATATATTATGGTCACATACTTTCATCTCTAAATTGATATGAGTACTATTTTAACTTGTGCACTTTTTAATTCAAAATTATTTTTAATATACAAGTTCAGTGATAGACGCCACCATTATTGCTTTAGTGTCACCGACATTGAATAATATTCGAAGTCACTCACTCAGGAGTCAGGTCATGCATGCCTAACTTCAGATTCCAAATGATGTCCTGACTGTTGACTAATTTGCTATTCCATCGAATGTGTTGCGTTAACTTGTAAGGATTGAACATAAGCAGTGGAATGATTTGGTCACATATGATATGAATGAAGACCTGGTAGGAAATAAGGACTTGTCGGGCTAAATGGTATTAGTACTACTGATATACTAGTACCTTTCTATAATAATGTTCTTTGTACCTAGAGCTTTTATTTCATTCGTTAGTCGAAACGATAATGATTACTTAAATAAAATAACATGTGCTATTACTCTCGCTTCTATCCTAGGTTTGCTGCAAAAGGTTGGTAAATAGAGTGCTTAGTGACAGAATTCTATGTGTAAGTCCAAAAGGATGGCTGGTTTTTGGTTCGATTACATTGACTTTTAACCTTAGTTTAAGAGCAATTTTAGTTAGAGTAACTTATCAATAAGGAACCGTTGAATGTAAAGTATCCTCAGAGGAGTTCATGTGAACCGAAAAATATCAGCAAACAGAAAATTGTATAGAACAAAAATTAGACACAGTTTCATATATTTATAGATGTATTTTTTGTGTTGGTCTCCAATTTTGACTTTAATTTCAATAATTCACGTAATAAAATATTGTTAAAAAAATTATATAAATCATTGAGATAAAACAATGATTTTAATTGGAGAAAAATACAGAACAGTACCTAAGGCTGTGAATAAATTTTGTCCATTTGTATAAGTAACAAGTGCTTATGCAGTTAGTTACATGGGTACCATTGATGTTTAAATTTGAAAAATAGTAATGCATATTTGTTGCACGTTACTCTTCTCTCGCATTACTTGTCCTCACACATTACCTTCAATAAAATAATTATAAAATTGTCAAGATTTAAAAAAAAAAAAAATGTATGGATAATATTAAAGTAAAGTTGGAAAGTAGACAAGTGCAGATGGAGAGGAATTTGGAAGGTCCTTTTCGTGGGCACTATAAAACGCCACCCACTGCCCCCAAAAAGCTGTTATTTCGTGACGGAGTCCTTCACGGGCTCCACAACGCTTGTTCCAAAGTAAACCATGAACACCATTATTGTTGGCTGAAGCAATAAATGGCTATTTTTATGGAATCTTAAGTAATGGAAGGCTCTGTCGCTTTTTGGCTACTGTCTAGGAGATAATGATAACGTGCACTACGACAACCATAGCTATCAACCTCACTTGAAGTTGATGTCTTGGAATCTTGTTCAATTCCTGTGACCCATTTAATTATGTCTTTCTGGAGTTTATAAATTGATCTTTCGTATCATCTAAGCTAAACATTCTTCATTTCAAAAGTACATGAAACACGATCAAATTAATACTACTATACAATTATCATCAAACCCTTATTAATATATAAAAAGATACTCGTATTAGTATTCGTTTATTTTAAGTGGTCCTTAATTACAGAGTGGACGCGCGTCCTTCTGAGATTGACAAGCAAACACAAAAATGCCCCGCCAATATCATAATAAGGTTTTCCACTTTTTCCTCTCTTTCTCATACGTGATTTTCATCAATATCTTAATATCAGTTTCCTAAAGGCATGACAATGCACACTAACTTCTGATTCTGGCTCACCAATTCCCAACTATCCAGTGCATGTTCTGTTCTCCACACCATTTTTTCTTTTACTCTCCTCCCATAATTGTCCTAGGTTGTTGTATAAGTATATATCAACATAAGTTATTAAGTAGATGAAAGATAATCAGTAGAGTCATTACTAATTCCATCTCATAATAAGTCTGGTCTTATGTTTTATTTACAGATAACAAGAAAAACTAATAAAAAATCAAAAATACAAATTTTCTAATAAAATATTATTAAGAGTATAAAAGAAAAGCAATTAATATTATATTAAAAAATTATAACAACACTTATTTTGTGAAAAGAATAAGAAACGGTGAAAAGAACGAGGCATCATGATCTTCATCTGTTTGGTTTCCAACTTCCAAGATGGCCATGGATAGGTTAACTTAATTGAATCGTTAGGTGAAAGCGCGTCGAGACTATTTAAGGAAATTATTATGACCTCAAGTTAAAGCAAAAATAAGAAAACACAAGAAAGCGTTGAAAAAGACACATTAGACAGAAATAGAAAGAAATTATATTGATACTGTAACAATACGGACCCAATCCAGTCATAAGAGTTCAAACTACAGGCCCACTTAGCCTTGGTTCCGGAAAAATTATTAAGGTTAATTATTTTCAAGATCGTGAAACTTGAGAATGTGATATTTTCTTGGCATAAGCTTTGAATAAACATTCTCGTATATGGTTAATATATTTTCAAGAATATAAAATATTCTCCTTCTTTTCGTAAATGAAATATAAAATATTTATATTTATCTTCTCATTCCCATTTTCCCTTATCTATCAAATAAGTCTTTAATAAATTTAATTTTGTACACTTTCTTTTTTCTACAAAAAAAAAAAAAAAAAATCACAACTGCATTTTTAAGATTTAAATCCCAGACTAATTATTTGATCAAAACAATCATACACACCCATTAATTTGTACACTTTAAATTAATAGGACCATCTGCATGACTTAAAGTATACTATACAAATATGTCTAATAAAAGGTAATTTAAAATAATATTTTATATTTTTTATCAACTATGTGTAATTAAACCATACTATTAGTCTCTTGTCCAATGAATCAAAAGATACTTATATAACATGATAAAAAATACATTTTTTTATAAACTATCACTATTTTCTTTTTATCAGAGATAATCTTGTTTGAATTAAATAAAATTAATATCTTACTAAAATTTAAAGCAATTTTAATAAGAGATAGTCTTTTATTTTGTGTAGATAAATAATTTTTCAATAAATATATATGAAAAACTAATCTTATTTTATAAATTAAAATTTTAATTTATATATAAAAAATATTTTGTTTTTCTTTTCTTCCATGAATTGTGATAAACTTATATGAGGAAAACCTTATTCAAAAACTATTGAATACCAATTGAGATGCTACACTAAAGTAACTCATTTTTATTTATTTTTTGTTTAAGGCTCACTTATACTTCAACGTCATATAAAATATACTTTTAAAAATTAAATAGTGAGATCGATTTGAGATTTTTTAATTGTTAAATTATCTGAGTTATTTAAAGTAATAAAAATATAGATCAATCATGATACATTATTAATGTAAAAGTTTACATTATCAATCAATTAAAAATTAATGTTAATATAACTTTTAAGTGAACTTAAATTCTAAACATTATCAATCAATTAAAAATCAACATTAATTCAACTTTTTAAAAATAATTATTATCAAAGTCAATAAATATACTTACATAAGATGAAATGTGATCAAATAGTATTATAAAATTAATTTATATTGTTAATATATAATTTTTTTTTCTATAAAAGACATGATTTTAATAAAATAAAATATTATTTGTGCGGACTCGAAAATGTTACATCATTAAATATGCTCAAAGTTACATTTTCATCACATTTTCTTTTTAATTCGCATAATTAAACTTGGTATAAAAAAATTTATAATAATTCTCACAATTTATTTAACCAACTAACTTACAATCTCTTGATCACATCACATCTTTGTATATAAATTAGAATAATTATATTGAATTAAAATATTTTCAGAGACTATCCTTTCAGTGACAATATTTTTATTGAATTCATTCGATAAAAGCATTTTTAAGAAAATTTTCTCAATCTTTCCTCTCTTTCAAATTCTTTTAAATTTTAAATTAAATTTTAATATTTTTAAAAATTATCAATAATTAAAAATAGCATTGTATTGTATTAAAAATTAGATTCATTATATCTATTGATCCCCAATTTTTCTTTATATTTTTAAATAGGTCCCTAAATATAAAAAAAATTATAATTGAATTTAAAAAAATTTCCTAAACTCTAAACGTAAAAAAATGAAAATTAACTCAATATTGTATCAATAAATTTTCTCTCCTATTTTTATAATTTGTAAAGTAGAAAATTTGAGGATTTATTGAAAATATATATATTTCTATTATATATATTATTATATAGGCATACAGTTATCTATTATTAATTTATGGTATTTGATTTGTAAAATTCATCATTATTCTATATTCTTTAATATGTATAACACAAAGTCAAGTTTTTCCCCCCTTCAATTTCTAATTTATTATCTTCTTACTTATTTTTTTAAAAAATTTATAATTGAAATATCTAATTTAAATAAATAAAATAAACTCTTGATCTTGGTGATATATGTTATGTATGCAAGTCATTGGGGCTAATAGGGATCTAAATACAAAACTTAGATGAAAAAAATAGGGACCTAGTAAAAAAAAAAAAGCTAAGAAAACTATTTGATATGAAAATTTTGTGTCAACATGTTCTACTATATTTTGAAATGGTCGAAGTTAATATTTATTTTCTAAAATAATTAAATATAAAAAAAAAGATAATTTTTTTTTTATAAATTCTTTTAAAAATTGGAGTCATTAAAATTGGCCTAACGTGATAATTTATTGAATTTAACTAAACTAGATTAAACTCTTTCTCTTGAGACTTCAAAATATTCAAACTGATTTAACTTAATAGGTTAAATATAGTAGCATGTAAAAGTATTAATAGAAAGTTACTCAACTTATTTAGTATAATATTTTATTTTATTTTTTCTTATAAAAATATTTTTTTGGCAAAAAAAAATGTGAGTAAATGAATTTGGCATTTCTAAATTATAATTTTTTTTAATGGAATTCATAATATTTTCCAAATTTTTTGTGATTAAAACCCATGATTAAGAGAATAAAAATATATTCTAAATTTTGTTTAAAGATGATATATTTAAGTTTCTGGTTTTTTTTTGGATTTTTTAAAACAAGATTCCTAATTATGAGGCTATTAACAACGATTATGAGGCTTATTAACGCTTAAAATACTGGTTAAAAGAAAAATAAAATGAAGAAATGAATAAGATTAGAAGGCATGACAATTCTGATTAGCTGCTAATAGACTTGTAAACTAAAGCAAACGTATAAGCTTTCAACACCAATGTTTCGTTAAGCCATAGACATCTCAAAAGCTCAACAGAGGTCAGAGACCCATATTTCTTTTAATTAATTAAATGGATACAAAAATTCATAAATTAGTTGAATTTAGTTGTTAAAGTTTTTGGGCAAAAGCGCAGAGCGCAAATCAGCAACGTCAATCTCCTCAATGTTCTCGGGTTTGTAGTAACCAGTAACAGGATCTGGCACCCACGAAACCTTGTATGTCGATGTTCCTTTCTCTTCCCCTGGCTTGGATGTCATCTTGCTGCTTCTGCTCATGGAACCCACTCCTCCCCTTGTTGCTACCGAATACCCGCGTCTGTTTATAAATCATCTCATTAATTCACTACTTAGTACTTAACAATCATATCATTGTACAATTGAAAAATGATTTAAAATTTTAAATATATGGTACCTGGAGAGAGCCTGAGAGAATCTATCTAGGATGAGAGCAGAGAAAACCTTGGAGTTGGTGAAAGAACGAGCCATTTGTGATTAAATTGGGTTCAACTGGGGAAAGCTTACTTGTTTGAAAAGAATTTATGTAACAAATCAAAAAAATAAGCTGGCCAGAGTGTGTTTTAATTTGAGAAGAGATAGGGTGATTATATATAGAGAGAAGAGGCGTATGTAAAGAGAAGAAGACAAGACATGAATAGGCTTCAGAAAATGAAGTTTATGTGGAAGCCTTTGGTTTGGTGCCACCTGGATGCTGGTAAATTCGTAGAAACTGGTATAAGGAATAAAGGTGGCAAGACTTGGTCTTAGAGTCAATGGCGGTGGATGAATGAGCTAGTGAGATGAACCTGGTCATGCTTTTCACTTTGACTCACATCTTTTCTACAATCTATTCATTAGTTCTCCCACTATGCAATGCATGAATTATATGTGCACAATCAATGGTTGTTACGCATCTTTACAAGTCCAAAATTTTAGAGAACCTTCCTAACACTCTGTTCTAACTCTGTCTCTTTTGACCATTCAATGCAAGTTGAACTTAAATCAGTACTAGGGTGCTTTTATGGTCAACTTATTAAGACCATCTTTTCTCAAATTACTAAATGAGTCTGATAAGTAATTTCACATCCTTACATTTTAACAATTATTTATTTATTCAGTAATAATTATCTTATTTATATTATAAAATTAAAGATATTTTTAAATTTATTGTCTTCACTTTTAATATTCATTTATTTTAACTAATTCTTCAAACCAGTAATTATAAATATGAATAGAATATGTCAAATTTTAAATATTATTTTATTGTTTAACATATTTAATTTAATTAATAAAACAAAATTAGGCTTATACTTATAAAAATTTGTTAGATTTAATATTGATTTTTTATATAAATTTATTTATTTACATTGGTAATGTATTATTTATTTATATTGATAATATATTTATATTATCAATATAAATAAATAAATTTATAAAAACAAGTATCAATATTTTTTATCACCTCACTTAACTGTTTTACATATCACATTTATACAAAATTAAGAAATTGCAAATAAAAAATCTAACACTTGCATTTATTGTATATTTTGTAAATGAGTGCATATAAAATGGTCCTTTAATAGAAAACGGTTCCTTTTTATTTTTTCTTTGTAATATTGTATATGTAATTTTGAGATCACTTCATGTATAACGTGTATTTGAGTTTGTTATCATAATTATTTTAGTTTGTTAAATTAGGAGTTAGATATTTAAAATATATCAAATAATATATAAGAAATATTTTTTAAAATTTTTTTAGATAAGCATAAGATTACCTTTTTTTTTTATTAAATTTTAATGATCTGTGCGTGATTGTACATTAATATATATGAGTGTGCATGAATTGTTCCCGTAAAAAGAACATTTTTTTTGTGACATTGTATATACTAAAATTTAATATTATTGAATAAATTATTTTTTATCACATAAATTAAAAAATAATTCACAATAATATATAAAAAAAATATAAAATATAAAAATATTGAAATTATCATTAATCTCCCTACATTATAAATGTGGTGATTTTTAACTCCTTTTCTTTCTCATCTTTAATCTCTCTTTTCTTTTCTTTTCATGTTTTCTTTTTTTATTGATCCCGTTCTTTTTTCTTTCATGTTTTCTTTTTTTATTGATCACGCAGCAGCGACATTATTTATATTATCATCACCATACTAAGTCAATAAAAACTAAGTGAAACATAGTGAATCAAACTGAATTTCAAATTCGTATTATCATTATTTAAGGAGACATTAATAAATGAGTAAAAGTCATAAATTTTAGGGGAGAAAATGATGCCCATATGAACCTTTACACAGGAAAAAGATGAATCTTACACAACAAAGAAAAGAGAATTTGTGGCTGGTGGGTGAGGAAGAAAGAAAACTGCACCAAGTGATTACCCAAATGCATGTGTTAAGAAGGTCAAAGCCATAATTACGAATGATAATATAAAAGATAAAACAAATATAACAAAATATCTATATAAAAAAAAAAATCATGCATACCAAGAGAAAAAGTTATTGTGAACATAATAAATTCATGCAAGACAATGTGCCAACAACAAATAAGAGTGTTGTTTTAAGAGTCTTTAAATTTATTTTTAAAAATTTAATTCTGAAAAGTTAAAATATAAACACTTTCAGAAATAAGTTTTATAGCACTTTTCAAAAATGAGTTTGAAGAATATGAATATTTTACTAAATAAAAACATAAAATATACGTTTAGTAATATTAGGAGATACACCTTGCAATAGGGTACGTATATGGATTTGAGTCCGCGGATCAGTCCGTAAGTCCGTGGATTTCGTGGATAACGGACCCGTTTTTTTCAAATCCATATGATTACATCTAATTTTTTAGCCCGGCTTGTTAAGTCCGCGGACTTGGCAGATTTAATCCGCGGGCTCGCGGGTTAGTCCGCCGACTTCACATTTAATATTTTTAAATATTATAATTTTAATATTAAGTTGTGTATTTAATTTTTTAAAATTATTATGACATTAAAATTATGTTTAGTTGATATATATTTGTCATTTGAATTATTTTTATGACATTTTAATGTTTTTATTATTGAAAGTTTGTTACTATTATTTAAGTATTTGTAATTATTTTTATTTTAATATTTTAATATTTAGTATTTTAAACCATTTTAACTATTGATAAATTTTAGTATGATAAAATTTAGCTTATAAATAAAAAATATTTTTTTCTTCTAATTTTATGTATTTTTATTTTTAAAAATTTATTTTTTTAACCATTATTTAGGCCCGCAGACCAGTCCGTTATCCGCGAATTTTGACGGGCCGGATACGGACTTAATAAATAAGTCCATTTATTTTACGAACCAGACTTATCCGGCCTGTATAAAATGCAGGTTTTACGGACCGGGCCTTAAACGCGCTGGACTAGTGCGTATACCCACCCCTACCTTGCAATAATAACCAAGATTTATTAACAGAAATTGGGCCAAGCAGATGAAACCGGTCCAGGATGATTAAAGCCCAATTATTTTGCAGCTACCCCGCCGTGGCTTAGGGTTTTACTTTACCCCGTCCTGGAACTGGAAAACCAGAGTCAGTTGGAGAGTGCAAAATGTCTGAAGTCAATGCCAGCCCTGAAATCCCTCAAAACAACACTATCTACATCAACAACCTCAACGAGAAGATTAAGATTGATGGTACGCTATTTATTCCCTGTTTCCGCGATTTCAATTTCAATTCATTATTCATTATAGTATACATTCTTTGAATGCAGAATTGAAGAAGTCTTTGAAAGCCGTATTCACTCAGTTCGGAAAGATACTCGAGGTGTTAGCTTTTAAAACCCTCAAGCACAAAGGTCAAGCTTGGGTGGTCTTTGAGGATGTCTCTTCTGCTTCCAATGCTCTGAGGCAAATGCAAGGTTTCCCCTTCTATGACAAGCCCATGGTACCGTATCACATGCTCCTTTACATCTTCTATTTCACTTTTCAACTCCAATATTCTTATCTATAAATACAACTATCCTCAATGACAAGGATCCATTGACTATAAATACAGTCATAGTTAATTTAACATAGACTCCTCGGTGGGTTATCATTTTGTGTCAAATTAACTATGCTTTAGTTTATGGGGTCTCAAGGATACATCTCATCCTCAATAGGTCATGAGGGAAAATTGTTATTGTAATTTTATCGAACAACCTTTAATTATTAGTTCGGGAGTCAATCAAATCAGATTTTATATTTACGTAGCAGTGTAGCACCAAAAGAGAGGGAGGATTTTCTGTGAGATGGTCTGTCACTCTGTCTTCATGATGTGGCATTAGGAAATTGATAATTATTTCCATCTGAATGTTCCCAGGCTATGCATATTGCTTATACCATTGTCTGTTGCAATAATGGTTACTTACTTTCTATTGCTGGAGCTATATTTTAATTGGTCATATACGTGGTTTCACCTGTTAATCTATGATATGAATATGATTCCATAGTCTTGCTGGCTTGACCCAATTGATGTTTAGCAAATCTCTAGTAGAACTGTTTTCTCGTTAGTGTGTATCCATTTTGCCTCGCATGCTGAAATAGAACTTTGACTCTAATCACCTAGTCAAATAAAAAGTTAGTATAATTCATTTTAGAAGTGAATTTTATTGTAATCATGTATCTCATTTGTATTTTTTTTAATGAAAGCTCTTATATTTTCTGTTTTAAATTTTTTGGAAAAAGGAACTGATTGATCCAAACAACTTGCTTCTTTATTTTACTTCATCTCATTACTTTCTTCTGTTGATTATATAATGCAGTTTTCTGTCAATTTGTGACAGTCTATAGAACTTATCCTTTTCAAGAAATTGAATTTGATATTGCTATTTATCCAGAGAATACAGTATGCAAAGACCAAGTCTGATATAGTAGCCAAAGCAGATGGTACTTTCGTTCCTAGGGAAAAGCGTAAGAGGCATGATGACAAAGGTATAGCACTTTTTAAGCTCATGCCCAACAATGACAATAAGATCCAATAGATTCCATGCAACTGTCTCCACCTTGAAAATCAAAGGATTATTCTGTTTCTTGGGATATTCTCTCCCCTTGAAAATATATTATTCTTTTTCATGCAACTGTCGCATGGCTTTTATGGTTCAAATGAATTTCATGATTTTGTAATTGATAATATTGAATAAGGAAGAGTTGTAATAAACATTATATCTGACTCCATCCTGCCTTTAGGCTCCAACGGCATGTGTAGTTATTTTATGGGCCATGTAATTTTATGTTTTATTTAATGCATTACATAATCAATAAACAATTGCGTTATAGGGAAGTGTGACCTTTTTACATTTTGTGATAATTTTTATGTTTCTGTCCGCAAGAGACAGGCTTATTCCATACTGGTGAGCATCTAGATGCAACACTTGTGCTGAAAACCTGTGTAGTATGGACCATACAAGTGTTCATGTTGTTACACACAATATATTCAACGAACAACTTTACATGGAAGTAACCTGGTTAAGTTTTCTTGCAGGCAAAAAACGGAAGGACCAACATGATGCTAATTTAGCTGGAATGGGCCTAAATCCAGCTTATTCTGGTGCTTATGGTGCAACACCTGCTGTAAGTTTCTTCTGCTGTTGTAGTTTTTGTGGGGGGGAGGGGGTCAATCATCAATGGTCATGTTATAAAGACTTACTAATATGCTAGTAAAATGTCTCCTTTAAATTTAGCACCTTTAGAGTTTGTTGTCTTACAGTAATTTGTCTCTAACAGGAAAATGTTTTCTTTTCAGCTTGTCGGTTTGCCTTCAATTATTTTTTTGATTTTCTGATAGATGCCTTCAAATATAGGAGAAAATGTTCTTTTAGTAGAAAATGAGACTGGGAGAGATATTGTTATCATCTATAGAAATTATGGCGAGATGAACACTAAAAACTTCGTTTCATATTCCTTCTGGTCACCATGTTTACTTAGTTTCTCTTTCTTATGTATTTGTTGTTCAAGCAATTTCTCTAACATAGAGTCTACCGCAGATACCCTATCCAGGTGGTGCAAAATCTATGGTACCTGAGGCACCTGCACCTCCAAATAATATTCTCTTTATTCAAAATCTTCCCAATGAGTCCACTCCGATGATGCTGCAAATGCTCTTTCTCCAATATCCTGGATTCAGGGAAGTTAGAATGGTTGAAACAAAACCAGGAATTGCCTTTGTGGAATATGGAGATGAGATGCAATCCACAGTGGCTATGCAGGCGCTGCAAGGTTTCAAGATAACCCCACAAAACCCTATGTTGATAACTTACGCCAAGAAATAGATAGTGGTTTCCTGAACTTATGGTATGAGAAGGGGAGGAATCACATTTTCAGCAGAGTTGTTAATCCATTTAACGCAGTGGTGTATCTTAATTGGTATCTAGCTTTGATTTGGGCAGCCTGATTCGTGTGTAGTTAGGGATAATAACTGACATTTTTATACAAATATGTATTTAATAAATTACTAGCTGGTTCAAATTTATCTGTTACAAAATTATTTTACTTTTTCTAGGATTGTCATTTGTCTTGCTTTCGCCTTATTTGATGAATTTCCTGCAATCATTTACTGGGCGAAGTTCAACAAGTAAACACACGATGCCTTCCTTGTGTAACTATGTAATCATTTTGCTTTATCTTCTTGTAAGGTGATATCTCTGCTTAATTTTTGAAATTTTGGTGTTTTATTTGTCCCTACATTGGCCAAGAGTAGAATTTAATAGTGAAAGCTTTTTCAATGTCTAACATAAATTCTAAAAGCGGAGAATTTGGATTTACTGCAGTACAAAATTATGTTCTTCGTGTTTGTACAAATAAATTTTTGTTTATATATATGAAGATCAAACAACATGCTTTTGTGAGTACACCTGTTTTTTTTTTATCTGCATAAAATATGTAAGCTGTTTTTTTCGCTCTGTATTGTCAACTGTTAACATAAGTAGTGCTTGACTATGTAAACTGTGTATAAATGTAGTACCCATACGAAAGAACAAAAAAAAGGGTGCTCTGTAGCTTATGTTCATCCAATAAATTCACTTTAAATTTTTGTACCGGTATACCCTATGCAAGCCACGGGCATAGGGTGCCTTGATTCCAGTCCCATGTTCCCCGTCTTCTGGTCTCTACTCTATGGATGTTGGCGAATAAGGAGGGGCAATTTTCTTTGATATTAATTGGTTTCATTAATCAAAGAGTTGGTCCGTATCAGTGGCCAAGAGGGTAAACAGAATGAGGTAATGGTATTGACTCGATACTATCATGGCTATTAAATAAGTCTTTGTTCACATGTGACTAGGTTCTGATTCGGAGCAAATAAGTTTAAAGATTTTTTCAGTTCTCAAGTTTAATGGACAAGGAAGGAGGCACCTTTTTGTTGGGTTAATGTTCCTTTTTCTGAAGCATAGTCAAAAACACACATCAAGTGCCGTAGAATTTTAGCCGTTTGGGAGCATGGTTGAGTTTCACATGTGTTTGAACAATAAGGGTGTGTGACCAAATAAAGCTTTTACTGCATATCAAGTGTAGGATGCACACGCCAACATTTAAGTCCTTAGATTTGACAATGATCTCATCAAGAATCTATGTTCTTCACCCACAAGATAGAGCATGGCGATTTTAAAGTGATAACAGTACCAAACCATCTTTTAAATGACACAAAAAACTTGCTCTTCCTTACATTGACCTTATCAACTCTTTAATGCATCAGACATAAGTGCTCATCTAAAATTAGGCATCCACTGTGACAAACAAGCACCATTGCACTTTGTTTTTTAACCTTTGCGCACATTTCAACTTATATGGCAATGGAGGATTCACCAAATCGAAATGATGGCCGCGTATGTGTAGAAACTCCTCACTAATATTTAAGCCAATGTCGCACGGCACAGATTCTCGCATGCTGTGAACTAGTCTTCGCAATATGCTCAGAACATTGTCTGGTCACGAATAATTAATTTGCATTAAAGGTGAATCACAAGTCCATTGCAAAGAATAATGAGCATTGATTAATATTATCCCCTAACAAGAAAAATGCAAATGTATAACAAACCGTGGTTGTGCTTGCTGGTGTGGAAGTTGTATCCTTCACAGCGAGTGTTGATTATTAACTTTTTCTGCTCTCGGATATTAATGCACCCTTTGAAATTGTTGTAGTGAAGCCTCTGTTAAACCACCAAAAACTTTGGGGGAAAAGGTAAGGACCTATTACATATAGGGAATGATATCTACCTAGGGAGCCTCCCAACTTTCTCTAAAACTCCTACAAGTGCACACATCACACATGCACATGCCATACTCAAAAACTTGCACCCAACACGCAAAGCCTAGGTGCACTCATACATTATTCTTCTCCCCCCTCCTTGCACCATCCAATTCTTCATGAACGGAGACAAAACAAAAGGCAACGTGGGACCCAAAATTCTTGATCCAAAGGATGGCATTTGATTTAGTACAAGGAAAAACTTGCCTCCTTGCTGCAGTGAACATCAAATGAATAAAGGACTTCTTGTTGGCTTTCTTATTACACATACATGTACATTAGTACTCCTCCTTAGCCTTTAAGAACCAAACACATTAGTGTATAATATGATCTTCGTTTATATTATCAAATAAAAAAAATATACTAACTTGTCTGTGCTGAATTTTAGGAGGAGAATTTTGCAGTTTACTTTTTTTATGAAATTGAAGCAGACAAGACTCTAGTTGGGTTTCCTTCAATATAGCAGCTACCTGTTTGTACTGGCATGACGGTATGGTGTGACACAGTTTTTTTTCTTTAATTATTATTTTTTCTCCAAAGGAAGACCTGAATTTCACTCATTGTTCCTTAGATGACTCTATTTTCTCTCTCTAAAGTTGCAGCTATAAATATTGAGGCTTTCCCCGAGTCTAGTTCAACTTCCATGAAGCTCAAGGCGACATGTTCCTTACTGGTTGAGAAACTCCTCGTTGGAGAAGCAGGGCACGTGCAAGTGTTTTGGCTCTCAAATGCCACTCAATCTTTGCACGTGCTCCCCTTCTCCAACACGGGTTCCTCCTCCTTGTGCTGTTTCTCCAACATTAATTGTGAGGTAATTGCTTTTATCTCCTCCTGCTCCTATATATCCTTGTTCCTACGTAAAGTTATGCAATTTGCATCTTCTGAAGCATGTCACTTTCAAATTGAGGTTTCCAATAACTATAGAGGGAAAACTTGACAAATCACTACTAACAACTTGCATACTAAAGAAGGGTGTCTCATGTATGAACACATTTACATTTTACATTTTGGAGTCTTGGACTGAAAGTTAAGGTAATGTAATAACTGAGCGCCAGACTTATAGTGTAATGCATTACAAACATATACATGAATATTTCAAAGTGTGGAGCAGCACATAACACAGCAAGACTTGTGGTGTGATCGAAACTTTTTAAAGGACTCATCTCAAAACCCGTTTAAAATTTCTCTTCACCAGAATTTAGTATTACAAATCTTTTATTTTTAATTAATGAAAATTTCGAAATATAAATTTTTAAATAATTGTAAAACATATTTGACCATTATTTATTTTAAATAGAAATAGTATGTTTATGATTAATTAATATGATAAATTTTAGTAATTTTATAATTAAATATTTTCTGAAGTTTTATTCTTATTTTCAATTTAAAGTTCTTAAGAGTTTTTTATAATTAAGATTTTTTAATATATATTTTCTTCTATCAAACATGATTTTTTTTTATCCTCATGTCACTTTCTTGTGAATTGTTAATACCAAATGTTAAGAGATTTCGATAAAAGGCTAAATTTAAAAAAATATATATATTATTTCAAGATTTAATTGATATTTTAGTTCCTATAATTTTTTTATCGCTTTACAAATTTTTCTAATAAAAAAATGTAAGTTTTAGTTCTGTTGTTAATATCTATACTAACATGGCTACCGTCAATATCACTAAAAAAAATGATGGTGTAAAATCACTATATAATTTTAGCGAGTGTTAAACCACTAAAAATTTCTTCTATTACATTTTTTTTTGTCATCTATTACAATTTCAACTACATGTGACATGCCCTAATACGTAGATAATTTAATTGAATCATTGAAAGAAACTTTCTTCTCAAATGACTTAGATGAACTATTCATATTTTGATATAGGCTGATGAGTGGACCTTTACCACTATTCCTTGACCCAAATCTAGATGATACATATGATGTAACCCTTGATAAGGCTAGAGCTTGCTCCAAATATGTATACCCTTTGATGAAATTCTATTAGAGCAGTCTTTGGTTTTCCTCTCTCCCATTTTCACGTTGTTGCTACTTTGACTATCTAAAGAGCTTTCGAAGATAGTTGTTTCAAATTCATCACTGTCATCCAATGTGGCAATAGAAGATGACAAGAATGGAATCTGTATGAGCAGATTGTGGTTTTCTTTCTTCTTTTTGTAGAACAATTTTAATTTTACACCTGACAATAAATTTTGTAGGAGTTTTACACTACCAGAAATATTTTGTAGTAGTCTAACATCAATAGTTGTGTTAACGATGGCTAAAGCTTAACTTATATGCATGTGTAGGGACTAAAAGTTACAACGTTTTCGTATAGGAAAAAAATTATGAAGTAAGAACATGTGTAAGGACCAAAATATCAATCAAACCTTATTTTAATTTTTTATATTATGTTAATATTCTCATGCTAAAATAGTTCTAGAATTAATGTTTCTTTAATGTTAAAAAATGAATTTCCTTTTGAAATATTGAAAAAACAACAAATTAAAAACGAACACGCTGCATTAATTAGTAGATAATTTTGTTTTTTTATATATTTATTTGAAGAGGTCAACTTCTTAATAAATCACAGTATTATAAGAGATTGATCTTTAATTAGCTTTTGAGTAGAAAATACTTTGATTTAACGAACAAATATCTTTCTTTACTATATATATTTTTTAAAATAAAAAACTTGTATGAACACAATTTTTGTTTTACATATTTATACTTTGATACATTATAATAAATTAATTTAAATTGGTGAAAAAGAGACATCTTCTAACTCTATTAATTTTATTTATAAGTGATATAAAATAAAATATAAAAATAATAAAAGTTACAACATGTAAATAAAATGAAATATGTATAATTAATTAAGAGTAGAATAGTTTTGAACAAAAAAATAGAGAGCAAAGGTAGTTAGTGTAGTTCTTATTAATAGAGTAAACAAATATTTTATATACATTTTTTAGTTTTACCTTTTAAGAGATATATTGTGAAAAAAATATCTAGAAAAAAGTAAAAATTAAAGAAAAATATCTTTTATATATTGTCATAGATTAGTTAATAATGTTCATTATATTTAGGGAGTCTATTGAATTAGAATTTCAAAAAAAAAAATTTAAAAATATATCATAAAAAGGTCTTGTATATTCAATCAATATTTTTTAATATAAAAAAATTATGTGATATTTAATTAAAGTAATTAATTTTTTTTAGGAGTATATCAAAATTTAGTAATATTCAATTAAGATAATCAAAATCTTTTGGAAGTACATAATAATGCGCCCCATGTAAGCTTACCTAATTTCAAGGAAAAAAAAACAGTTAATCCCAATACTGCTAGAACTTAAATTATATACTCTAACTAGAAATGACTTTAAGAACTGTGTTCTCCTTATCATGGATTGGCATCAGATGTTATAATAAATGATAAAATCATAATTTTATCCCGAGTCTCGCTAACCAGTGTCTTTAGAACACTGATTATGGAATCAATATGTAGAAAGTTTTCAGTGAAACTATAAATGTTAAAATGGATGCAAATACTGCAATCAACAAGTTCTCACCCGTGCTGAAGCACCCCTTGGGGTCCGTAGCACAATTTGATCAATTCCATTCCAGTCCTTTGTAATTTCCGATGCATTATTTTGGCTCCTGCTGCATCTCTTTGCATCCAAGACTTGGTGTCGGTTTAGACTTGGAATTCCTCATTCAGGATTGTTGAAGTAAGTTCACTTACTAGTGCTTGTACATGTGTCATTTGATGGGGTTTCATTTTAGTTTTTCTTTCATGAGTTGCATTTTCCTGAAGAATTTTATTGTTATTGTTATTTTTTTTTTATGCTTATTTTCTTAAAGAAATTTTATTACAGTTGTTATATTTATCTCGTTTTACTTATTTATTTATGATTAATAAGTTTTTGAATCCTTCAGAGTTTGTTCAGTATTTAATTGTCTTTTACTCCTATGAATCTGACAAGTTTCAAGGGCATGTTTAGATGGGTGCCAGGTAGATTGGTATGCAATTGCCAAATGTTCCAAGTGTAACGTTTCTGCTTTTGGCTTTCTGGGGTTTTAATGGAATTTTCTCACACATTCCTAATTCTTGTTTTAAAAATAGGTATAGGATTCCCTAGATCTGATTCATCTGAATCACACCAGTGAGGAGAGATTTTATGGGGATTAAATTGGCTGTTGGGATTTTTGGCTTTAACTGATAAGGCTAATTCATTTGTTTGTCACAGTATAGGTGTGAGCTGGATCCCCCTTCAATCCTCTGGCATTGGCATGTACCAAATTCGAGAAGCTTAATAGGGTTTTCTGGGGAAGTAGAGGATCTACACTAATTTGAATGGGGCATTCTGCAGCTGTGTGGGACTATAGAGCAGCAACGGAAATTACAAAGGACTGGAATGGAATTGATCAAATTGTGCTTCGGACCCCAAGGGGTGCTTCAGCACGGGTGAGAACTTGTTGATTGCAGTATTTGCATCCATTTTAACATTTATAGTTTCAATGAAAACTTTCTACATATTGATTCCATAATCAGTGTTCTAAAGACACTGGTTAGCGAGACTCGGGATAAAATTATGATTTTATCATTTATTATAACATCTGATGCCAATCCATGATAAGGAGAACACAGTTCTTAAAGTCATTTCTAGTTAGAGTATATAATTTAAGTTCTAGCAGTATTGGGATTAACTGTTTTTTTTTCCTTGAAATTAGGTAAGCTTACATGGGGCGCAGGTCACTTCCTGGCGGAATGAGCAGGGGGAAGAACTTCTATTCACAAGCAGCAAGGTATGTCTTTTAATTTTGATTAAAAATAATTAATTATTTTTTTCAAAGTATATGGATTTGTCATATGTCAGTGCTGATAAGGAAAATATGTGTCAACGTTTCATAATCCTGTTTTCTGAAATGAGTTCATTTTGGGATAAACTGCATTATATTGAAGGTAGTATGTGGAGGGCATTGGCTCAGATAATCAATAAATTCAGATAGAGTTCGGATGTTGATGAATCGTAACATTCTATGTTGCTCATCAATCATATCAATGCAAAAGACAAATAGGGAAGAAAGAGTGCATTGATTAATGTTGCACTTATTTTTATGAAATTTCACTTAAAAAAAGTTTATTGATATTTAAAAATATAAATTTTTTAATAAATTATTTTGATGGGTTAATTTTGTGAGACATTTTAGTAAAATTTATATATAATTTACTCATCTAATGATCTCACAAAAATTATTGCAATTTCGTATGTTTTTTTTTTATTTCTCTCTTCTTCTTTTTTTTTTTTATCTTTTTTCTTCTTTCTCTTCTCTATCTCATCTTCTTTTTTTTGTCTCTTCCCCCCCCCTCCCCCTCTCTCATTTTCTCTTTTAATCTCCCTCTATTTTCATGTATTTTCTATCTCTCTTGTTCATCTGTCATTTTTTTCCTCTCTATATTTTTTTTCTTATCTTTTTTATTTTATTTTATTTTTTATTTCACCTATCAATATTTTTTTTGTATTTTTATATATCAGTATTAATGTATAATTTATCAATAGTTATTTTTAATTATTAAATATTCACAATTATTTTTGAATTATTAAATATTATTTATTGTTAAATTCTTTTAATTATTAAATTTTAGAAATATTTACTTTCAATAAAATTTAATATTAAAATATAAAATCTGTAAACATATATTAAAATATATTTTAATAACTTTACCGATTAACAAATATAATAAATTTGAATATATTATTCAAATTCAATAATATAAATAAAGAAACATGAATAAATAAATAAAAAATATATAAAAAATGTTACTTAAGATGAGATGAAGTTAGAATCAATTATTTACTAAAAAATTAAAAATTTATTAATTTTATTTTTTTAAATCAAACTTTGTCATTTAAGATTTCTAATTAATTGTATTATTTTTTTAAAAAGTCTATATTATCCTTTGAAATCTAATAAAATCTTTTCAAATTTTATAAATTCTTAAGATACAAATTCATTAAAATTTATATTACAAAATCTTAATTAAAGAATTTTTAAAAAAAATCTTTAAAATTATTATATTTTTATAAAATATTTTTTTTTAAATTCATTAAATTTTTACAAAATCTTTTAAAATTCACAAAAAAAAATTATATTTATATTTATTTTATTTTTTTTTACAAAATCTCAATCTATTATACCTTAAACTGTGACTTTAGGCTTCATTATATTGCTACACACAATACAGGGCTTGAACAAGTAATGGACTGATTCGTTGGGCAATGCCAAATTGCGAATAATATCAGTCCAATTCGTCAGGCCTGACAACAGAATTCGGGCTAGACATACCTGTCACACATCTTGCCTTTTCCATTTTTGGATCAAACTGGTTTTACTTGCTAAAATTACTATGCATTATGCAAGGATCCTTTTTTTTTCTCTCTTCTTAACAAGGGGTATATTTTAGACGTATTATGCATTAAATTTGATGCAAAATATAATAAATATAAAAGAATATTTTGCATTATTGTTGATAAGCAGCAGCATTTATTAGGAGGTAGTATGACATCACACGTATAGGCTGAGCACATAATAGCAACGAAGAATCATTTAAAAGGAATAAATGCAATCACCGACTATAATGAATGCAAGACATGAAAGGCATTAAAATAAGACATAGAGTAACTATCTTTGCTCAGAGAAACACATGGCCAGTCCTCTCCTTTCCCTCTCAAAAAATTCTCTGAAATGATGATATCTGATGTACTCAATTCCAACATATACCAATACCACCCGTCTTTTCTTCTGCATCTTCAATTTACCTCTTAAGCATAATATAAATTATAATGTCCCAAAAATCAACTGAAACCTAATCTTGCTTTGAGTTGCGCAAAAACTAAATCTTATCAACGGTGCAGATACTATTACATTTCACAATGCTATGACACAAATGCATTTATAATCATGTATTGGTTGAAGTGAAGAAAGAAAATTTATTTTTCGTTAAGACAGGACATTTCCCCCCTCCTTTCTCTTCTTGCCAGGAAAAACTAAACAAATACATCTCTTAAAAATAAGAATAGACTTCTTAAAGAATGAAAATTCAAATAAAGCTCCATTTTTATTTAGAAAAAGTACATTTTTTCCCTTTTATTTTAGTGATATTCATGTGAATCGTGAGTTAAATGCGCCAAAACATAAATTAAGGTTCATATATATACTTATCTCTACTTTTTTTTTTAATATTATCTAATGATATATATATATATATAAGTATGCATACACGAACAAACTTTATTAAGAAAGAGTTAAATCACTCAACTCAATCTATTAGAATATAGAACACAAATGAATTGATTAAAATAAAAACAAAAATAGTACATGAGTTATTTATATATATACATACACGAACCAATAATAACCGAAGCCAACTGTCATAACTCAGAATGGTTACACAATAACAGAACACTTGCTAGCTTAGCTATGCCTAACATTGTAGTATTATAATCTATTCATGAATCTCTAATTCTGGAAATTGATTTCAGTGAACAAGAATCATTTTTTATGGTTTATAATTTTAAGTATATGAGATCATGTGCTAGGAGTAATATGATCTTATTATAATTAATTTCGTTCCTCTCCTCTATTTTTATATTAAATTTAAAAAGTTTAAAAGAAATTTTTATATTATCTCTATACGTATTTACAAAATTTTCTAGTACCTGATCTTTAGACCATAAATACATGAGTTCCTCTGTTGTAGGCAGTGGTGATATTGTAAAAATACGTCGATGCTTAAATTAAAAAAAAAAATGTTATAGTCTTTCTTCCTATATATGTTTATTTGTTTCTTTTCTAAATAGTTTTTGTTTCGGCCTCAAATACACTAACATAACTAGGATTATTTTGAAGGATTCAATTGTGGTAGTAAATTAAAAAGATAATTTTTTTGTTAAGAATTAAAGAAAATTATAATGAGTATTGTGGTTAGTTGCAATTAAGGGAAACAATACAACTGAAATATTGATTAAAAAAGTTGAATAAATTTATTTAAAAATTTGCAAGATGTTACAAACAAACTTCTGAAAGAAAGAAGAGTGATAACAACGAGATTGAAATCACATGAGATGCATATAAAATTTATTCTCAAGATGTTCTTGATTCATTTAGGTTAGAGCATGTGTGATGGTTGTTGAAGGATGAACCAAAATGGTTAAATGCATCATTCGAATGAGCTAATAAGAGAATGAAGATTTTCGCTTCGGGTGTATACTCGTCATCTTCTAATATGGAAATACCACCAAGTGGCGAATACAACTCAACTTCACTTTCTATGGTTTGTCCAATAGTGACAAAAATGGCAAAAAGAAAGGGAAAATCAATCTCAAATGACACAATTATCCTCAATTCAATAGAAAAATTAGCATGTATCAAGCATGCCTGTGACAAAGAATTGAGCATGAAAGAGCAAGAACCTTGAGTATTAAATCATCTTCAAGGATACATATAGTATGACAATTTCACAATTACGATATCATGAAATGTTGTGTAAGAAAATAAAAGAAAAATATGAAATTGAGTGAGACTTTTCATTAAAATAAGTGTTACTTAATGCAATAGTGTTGTCTATGTCTAAAATATGTCTTTATTAATGTAGTTTTTTTAAAGTTATTAATATGTTATTTATGTTTAAAACTTTTCATTATTATTGTAATATTTTTGTTAATGCTTAAAATTTCTCGTTATTAAAGTAGTCATTAGTCAAACTAGCCGTTGGAAACTAGTTTTTACTCAAACAACTTTATTTTTATGTAAAAAGATTTTTCATACCTTTCAATTATGCAAACAAATATCATCTTATGCTTAAATTCTCTTAACATTGATATTTTATAGTGTTTCTTCAAAGGGGATCCAACAATTCATTTTACAAAGAGAATTTTAGGGATGAACTCATTGAAGAACTGTACACGAGGTTGGTAACGGAGAGGCAACAAACAACTACACATAGGCAGAGACAAACTCATATCGAAAGGAGTCATGAAAAATGACATGCTCAATTATTCAATGACTACTTCTGCAACAATCCAATATACACAAAAGAGCAATTTTGATGATGATTTTGAATGCAACGACATGTGTTCCTTTGCATTGTACAAGTATTGGGCAAACATGATGAGTATTTTCAAATAATAGTTGATGCAATTGGAATAAAGGGTCTTTCTCCATTGCAAAAATGCATTGTTATTATTTGTATATTAGCATATGGATCATTAGTTGATAATGTTGATGATTATGTGCGAATTGGAGAAAACACTGTAATGGAGTGCTTAAGTAAGTTTGTCCATGGTATTTGTCGAATCAATCTTTAGAGTAGAATACTTAAGAAGATATAACAACAATGATATTCGGTGCTTACTTTAAATTGGAGAAAGATGTGATTTTTCAGGTATGTTAGGTAGTATAGATTGTATGCATTGAGAATGAAAAAATTGTCTAACGACACGAAAAGGATAATATTGTCATGGTGATCATGAAAAATCCACTATCATGTTTGAAGCATTAGTCTCACAAGACTTATAGATATGCATGTATTTTTTTGGTGTTGCAAGTTTAAACAATAACATCGATATGTTCAACAAATACCTCATATTTAACAAATGATATTTATCTAAAATGAGTTATGTTGATTAAGACTATCTCAATGTGATAAGGAAATAAAAGGAAATTATTTGTCCAACATCAAGAAGCAACAAAAAAGAAGAATAAAAAGGATGTGAAAGATGTATATACACACCATGATTATGAAAAATGAATGATTCACATATGATGATAATTTTGATAAATTCTATTTTAATACCTTAAAAAAATCTGCATCGAAGATGCATAACGCAGATGTCCCGAACATACGGTAAGCTTTTACTTTCGTGAAGTACCTAGTTACTAGGCCTGCCAAGTTTTCTCAACGTAGGCTTATAAATCACGTACCTTCACCTTGGCCACAAAATGTGGTTTGAATATGACACTATTAAACCTCGATCAATTTGAAGCACATGCATGAAACCCTGTCTGGGACCTGTCAGATTTGTCGTTTGAATCGTGTTTCACAGGCCACTTAATTTGGACTTCAAAAATAAAACTTAAAAGTACACCTTCTTCGCTATCAGAAATATTAAAAGAAGATGGTTAAGGCTCGAGCATAAAAAGTGAAATATATTTTGGGTATTTAAAATTAAAGAAATAACATATTTCCACTATGTTAATTAGTGTAATAGTTAAAATAAATAGACCAATATAAAAATATTATAAAAAAAAAATTATCACCTATTATTGTCAATATCTTAAAATACAATGTTACAATAATAAAGTAAATGTGTAATAGTGAAAATAAAGAGGATTGGCTCTGGTAATGAATATTTGTGTCAAATAAAAAAAATGTTTAGCAAACATTGATAGACATTCGTTTGATAATGGTGGAGCTTGTCGTACAGCTCACGTATTTTACGCAGGATTGAGGCGAGAGACGCGGACACACAGAGACGCGTTTTGTAGTAAAAAATAAAAAATAAAAAACAAATTGAATACTTATTAGTAGAAACATCAGCGTCACAAGAATGGCGTGAACTCAAGTCAAGGGTCCACCCACAGATAACAATTTAATTCCACCATTATAAATGCAAACACCAAAGCCATTAAAGCATGAGAATTCCATTCATTCTAAGCATTAATTAGAAAAATAAACATATATTTATATATATATATATATATATATATTTATATATAATAAAAGTCATTTTAGCATCATACTAGTACTACTAGCTAGTGTTTCTAAAAAATAAAAATAAAAATAAAAATAAAAATAAAAAATGGTTGGAGAGGTTGGTGTTCAGGAAACGCAAGCAGCAGGAACCAGACACTTGGAAATGAAACCCAGCATTTTCTTCTGCACATGCAAGAAAGTCAAAAAGAGCGATGAGGAATTGAAGGAGCAAAAAATAATTTAAAAATATATAAAATAAAAAAAAAGGTTAGGTTGGGAATTGGAACCCGCTTAGTAGTGCGGAGTAGCTCTGGTGGGATCTTATAGAGATCTTCATCAAGGGGCTTGGCACGTGGCGGCGGAACGGCGTCGTATGGTTTCCTGGGGTGTTCCGTGACGTGGCACACTTTCCCCTGCTTTGGCATGTTCACCTTTTCTTTTTCTTTTTCTTTTTCTTTTTCTTTTTCCTTTTCCTTTTCCTTAACCACAACCCTCGTATCCCTGTTCCTCGTCCCCTTTTTAAGACAAGGTTTGTTGAAATGGAGAGCGTAAAGGTCACCATCGCTTTCTCCGGAGGAGGAACTGTATCGAATCAAGCCAGCTTGTCTCGCACTCTCGAAGTACTGAGTGATGGGCAATTGGTTTGCGTAATCCCAGTTTCCAAACGCTGGTATTTGCCCGCTTCTCTTCCAGTATTCCTACAATTCATGATTAGTAATCTGCAATCTGCAAAACAAAAAGGGGAGAGGGAGAGGGAGAGGGAGAGGGAGAGTGAGATGTGAGGACAAGGCTTACTTACATCCATTTCAAGATACAAAAATCAAAATATGGGTGGGGCTGCTGCAACACTTTAAACTTTAAACTGAGGATCTGAATGCTCTCAAAACTCAAAAGTGAAAAGTAGGTGGCTGTTACTGTTACTGTTACTGTTACTGTTACTGTTACTGTTACTGTTGCCAACTATGACCCAATGCCTGCAAACTCTCACTGTTCACTCTCTCCACCTCTTTGCCTTTATAAAGGAGTTAGGAGTTAGGAATTAGGAGTTAGGCCCCCCACCCCTTTCTCTGCGTCATTCCTTTTATTTATTTCTTCTATCCACCTACACTTTTCTTTTATTTACCCACCCTCAACCCTCATGCACTTTTCTTTTAATGTTTGAATACAATTAATACACGCACACTAATCACTCATTTTCACTCATTTCCACGTTTGTGCTGTAAAAAATATTCATTTCATCCCAACTAAAAACACCCATAAACTCTATCAATTAATATAATTATTGATGTTAGAACAAGAGATTTAAAAAATGTAAAAACAACGGTTGTATATATGGAATTCTTTTCCCAGTTTTGACTCCCTTTAAGTTGGGTGAAGATACTCTTTACCACTCATCGATGCTTATTTATTTATTTATTTTAAAGAGGAGGATTGGCCAATAGTCAATAGCATATAGTGTACAAGTCAGCGAAGAAAACGGATGTCGTGGGGCGACAAGATTTGCAGAAAGAAACCATGGTCAAACTGAAGCAGCCATGAGTCAAACGCCATATAGGTTAGGAACCGACTAATTTGGTAGCATTATTTTACTATTATTTACTTCCTCCCCCATTGCTCAAATCACAAGAATCAATCATCTTTAAAACTTAGATGAATGGTGTGTTCGTATTATATCTTTCTTTACAGTTGAATTTCAAAGCAAGCTGAGAACATATTTACGTTTAACATGTATTAGAATACGAGAAATAAGTAAAACAAACATGTACTAAGTTAGGCTAAATTATATTTTATTTTTAAAAGTGACATATGAATAACATTATTTCAATTCATCTTATTTGTTGCATTTATCTATCATTCTAAATATTTAAGACAGTACTAATTATTATTTTGTGAATTATAATCTTATTAACTAAAGAAAGAGAAATTATAACGCATGAAATGTCAAAGGAATAAATAAGAAAAATAAATGATATATTATATACTTGCAAATGAATTTATAATTAAATAATATATATTGCAAAAAATAAAGATTCTTTACACTATTATATATAACTAGTATTTTAATTTGTACAATGTATTGATTAAATATCTATTATATATGATTAAAATTTATAATAAATCATATATACAAATAAATACTATATTTAAATATATACATAGATATTTTTA